ATACAAACGGCTCGCTGCGAATACACCCATACATAGCGCAGCGATGTGTGTGAGCTCTCACCGACAGGTTCACCGACGCTCCGTCGGAGTACGAACCGGTTTGCGCCGGCTCAGTCAGAGTATCCATGAAAGGGCTATTAGTCGTGCGCATTTAAATAAATAGACCAACAATGTTTCGAAATTTTGTACATCAATAAATTTATTAAGTTCTTTTGCAATTATTAAATAAATAAATTTAAGTATTTTCATTAAATTAATTAAGAATTGAGTTATTATAAATTTATGTAGGTAAATAATAAGTGTTCTGTATAAGCAAAAATGCCTAATAGTTGTACAATATACATGAATAATTCTAGAGAAAATAAGGATATTTTCTTTTTTTTTGTACCCGAGAGATCAAGTGAAGTAAGTACCTTTTTACGTATTATATACAATAAAACTAGGTAATGAACATTGATGGGTAAGTGAGAATGTATAAAGCCGCGTCTCCACCAAAGTTTTGTTACCAACTTTTGTGTTGCTAACACGTGTTAGTAACAAATGTTTCTGTAATTACCTCGTATTGGCAACAAAACTTGAAACAATATATTATACAATATAACAATAATAATCGATCAAGATTTAAGCTGGAAATATATAGTAGTAAATGATATATATTTTTTTTAATGAATTGATAATCTTTGTTTGTTTATGATTTTATATGTTTTAGTCTAATTGTTTTGTATTATGATTAGAAAATTTCATTTGTATACGTGTAATTTATGTAAATTTGCATGCTATCACAATCACATAGCAAAACATGTTGTGCTTTAAGAATTGTACCATCCTTATCTGTCCATGTTTTATGCAAATATATGAAATAAATAAATAAATAAATTGTTCCCTCAGTGTAGACGCTTGTTGGAAACATTTGTCGGCAACGTCGGAAACAAATGTTGGTAACTTTTGTTGAGTTGTAAACAGTTGGAAACATAAATGTTGCCAACATTTTTGGTGGATATGCGGCTTTAGACAGGTACGTCGCCGACTGATGAAGTCGGTCTCAACTACTTGAAACGTTAGTCAGTCTTAACTTTGACAGTGCCATAGGATATCCTACGTAATAAGGCTAAATGTGTGACTTTATCCACCCACTTTAGTATAGAGGTAGGTTGCTTCCTGGGGAAGGATATAAGCTACTTTTTGCGAGTCGCGACCCCAGGGGTAAATACCACTGCATTATGGTTGGAATACAATCGCCAGACATTGGGGGGATGGTGGGATTGGTGTTGGTGGAAGTGGTGCTGGTGTTGGTGGATAGTGTTGCTGATGGTGACAGTGGTGGTGGAGGTGATAGTATCGTAGGTATTGGTAGTAGGCAGTGGACCAACAGTGGCTCCATCAACACCACCACCATCACTATCACCACCGCCACCTCCACCGCCACTGCCCACGACCACCATCACAGCCATTACTACCCACCACCACCACCACTTACACCAAAAATCTTGATTTCGAACAATTAATAGATTTGTTGTTACATTAATATACTCGTAAGTTATAATAATACACATGTTGTCTTATGCTATACAATATTTTTATTTTTTTCCTTAAATTTTTCACATGCAGCATGTGACAACCCTATCAGAATAGGTATACATTTTGTTAAGAACATACACCTTGTTAAGAAGCTTCCCCTCTGGTCCTTACTCTTTACTCTGTGGCATTACTACGGTTCTTAAATATTGTGAATGGACTCGTTATAAGGCCCCATTTAACCTCTTTTCGTCTTTACGGGTAGTTTTGTAGCACCCGGTAGAAATAGGGTGACAAACGAGCACACAGTCCACCTTATGGAAGTGGTTGCTGAGGCCCATATACATCTACATCTATCCTCTTTTGCGAATCAAAATGCAGATGCGTTGTCATCCTTAAGGACTAAGGTGGAATGCCTCTTTTCCAGTAAAAAGGGTCTCCAGTTCTCTACACTCACCATACGAAACACAGCAGCATTACGCTGCTATTTTACGCTGGTATTCTATTCTGTGAGAGCGTGGTCCATCTCGGTCGAGCCGACCCATTCGTGCTACAACTATACTATAAATATAGCTGCAGCTTGGCTCTACCACGTACAATAGTGGTATATCAGCACGTAAAATTGCAATTAACAATTTCATTGGTGCCGGCGGGCATCGAACCTGGGTTACTCGCGTACTGTGAAATTTACAGCGAGTGTTAAACATCTGAGTTACTACGGCATATTGTATAATTTACTTTGAAAATATAAAGCCCCTGGATTTCTTGCTGGTTCCTTCGACAGTTTTTTTTCGAACCAGTGTTAAAAATAAAAAAAAAACTACTTTCAATGACAATTACTTGTATTCTACATTGAATAAAAAATGAGTATATTCAATTTCGTACTATTTATTTTATTCTACAATAATCAGCCCACTTGATTCGATACATGGTAAAGCTATTCCGCAGCTTTGTAATAGTTGTAATACTAATGGACCGGCTTAAACGAGGAAGGACCGCGCCCTCACAGAATACCAGCGTAAAGTAACAACTTAATGCTGCTGTGTTTCGTATGGTGAGTGTAAAGAACTGATAACCCTTTTAGCTGGAAAAGAGGCATTTCATCTAAATCCTCAAGGGTGACAGGCATCTTTATTTTAATCGAAAACAGACGTAGACGTCAATGGGCCACAGCATCTCCTTACCATCAGGTAGATTGTTTTTCTTGTTTGTCATACCTATAATATTTAGAAAAAATTATCGGAAAAAAATATAGCATACACGAAATACTCAATTAAATTCTTTATTGAATGAACTTTTAAAATACTTCATCTTAATGGAGATAAAAGAATTATAATTTAATAGAAGGGAAAAAAAATAACGTTCGAATTCTCGTTTTTCTAAGCGATAACCATATAATATTTTTGATGTGAAAGATAGGTTAGCCAATAGGGTATTACACCCATTTTCAAAAAGTGTTTTAAATGAATCCTAGAGTGATAAAGAACCACTATAATTTTTATATAAATTTTTTTAAAACCGAATATTGACATAAAAATTACTTTTAATCTATCGTTTTAAATTTTCACGTGAAAACGCTAGCCGCCATACTGTTCAACTCGTGACGTCACTGTCGTAGAATTTTGACAATTTTGCAAAGGAATAAGATACTTTTGAATGTTTAACAATGAGTTATCATTTATATCATTGTTGTGTTCTGCCTGGTTGTAAAAATACGAGCATAAGAACGCCGGGGAAGTTATGGATTAAAGTGCCAACTGATTTAAATATGAGAAATACTTGATCATTTAAATAGCCCTTGCAAGTGCAGTGCAGTGTTTTACTTAATTCCTTCCTAAAAATTGTACTCAGACATTTTATTTCGTCTGAGGGTTTGTACAAAAAAATATAATAAAAAGTTTTTCTCACCTAAGCTTATATCTATAACATTAGTGCTAAAAGCGAAGTAATAAACTCGCTTTTACGAATCCGTCTTACATGATGCCTTTTCAATAAAATTCGGAATAAAAGTCAACAATCGTAATGATAACTTGAAAAATTTCGAAATTAGCTAGTTCGTACACAGCACATAACCTAGTTCTTTGACCTAGTGACGTCACGACGCTATCTAATATGGCGGACATCGTTTTGCAGATTTGAGGCTAAGGTAAAAAAAATATATTCTTTAAATTGAAATATAAAATTTATAATGCATTTTTATAAATAGAAATCAATATTCCTCGTTTACTTTTTACAAAATCCATCATAAATATATATTCTTTGACTTTTTTTACAAGGTGTAAAATACCTTACTAGATTTTTAATAGGCTACGTTTTTATGTAGATCCGTCGGAAATCTTTGCCTTAAGGCTGATTTACACCGTTTACACGTATTAAGTAGTCAAGTCATTAATTAAGTTTTATGTTAATTTTAAGCAACTTAAATTTAACGGCGACAGAGACAAATTTATTTTTAAAAAAAGCTTCCTAATGAGCAAGGCCACCGACAAAACCTTCTGTGTTTGCAAACTGAAATGGCAATGGACTGGTCACATATATCGCAGAACTGAAGCGTTGGAATAGACGTTTCATAAAGATTAACCACGCTTAGGAAAACGCAATGTGAAACACCACCTGTCTAGATGGAGTGACGATCTACGCAAATTGGCTGGTAGAAAATTTACACTAGAAGTCGAAAATCGGACTAAGTGGCGTGCCTTTGTAGAGACCTACGTGCAGCAATGAAGTGCCGCACTCTGATGATGATGAATGAATTAGGACGACAATTCACAAATACATAATCGGAAGTTATCGATTGCGCGGTGGATATCGTAATGCCATATCTGTACGCGCAAACAGAGAGAATGCAGTGTCAGAAACAGGGGAAACATCACAACATAATGTGATGTGTAGTAGTACCTAGTAGCCTGAAGGCTATGCTGTAGTTTGTAGATATACTTTCAATGCATATTAATATGCATATTAGTCCTATGTGCACATATTTGAACACTAAATTCAGTTATTTAGTAATCCGTGTATAACAGCTGAGTAACTCTAACCAACACACTTCAGTGTTGCCTAGACGCGCTAGAAGCGCGAGCGTCTGTATATTTTTTTTGCAAGAATGACTAATAGTGTGTACCATTATATCCTCAGAAGAAAAAAAACCACTAGAACTTTCTAAAAAAACTTTGTATCCTTAATTTATTATACTAAACTTACAGAATGTACAAATCGTATAACAGGGTCTGCGCCGGAAGAGCAATCACACACTCATTAATCCAATAGAAAAAAACCCTTACAATACAGTTACAAATCCAGCGGCTATGGTTCTCGTCAGAGTTAGTCTGATCTATTATTAATTGTGGTGCCAAGCGTGGCCAATATTGCAATACCCCCTATGAAAAAATATTTAAAGAGATTGATGTACTTATATTTATTTATATGTAGCTGAATAATTTTTATGGTCTCAATTTATGAATAATTCATCACATGTTAATACATACCTTAGCACGCGTATCGTTCAGCCAGACCTGGAAAGCCTCCGGGTCGCTAGGTGGCTGAAAGCGACCCGAAGGTTTGGGTTCGGGCATTTCTTCAGCATTTGCCGCAGCAGCTATTCGCTGCTTATTCTTCTCGATACGCATGTTCAAATTCGATATTTGCCTCTAAAAATGAGAATTTATTTATTTGTAGCTTTGTTTCTGTAGAAATCGGATTTACATATACAGTATATATAATTATAAGAATGTTCCTCCAGACCGAATTTCGGCGCAGGACAGGATTATGGTGCCCAAGTGTATGCTCATTCACAAGTGCACTCTATATTCCTTCAATCTCATAGTCCGATATAACACAACCTACATAATACGACTATATATAATACAGATTGAAGAATGAAGTAAATTTTCGTTTAAAAATCATATTCGATTCAAAAGACGTAATTAAACGTCTGCTAATGCTAACTAAGTGACTCAGTCTCTGTTTACGAATAATAACAATAGACAATTGAAAATAATTTGTATATACCTGTAGATCCTCATAGCTTTTTATGTCAAATCCTTTGATGGCTTCATTAAATTCGTCTGTGTCGCCATCTTCTATTAAGTCCTGTAAAAAGTAAAATAATATATTTTGAGTTTAATTTTAAGGTGTGGTGGCGGTAATATCGCCCATCTACCACCATCAAAGACTATAATATAAATCATTATGTTTACTTGGCATTTATCGAAATTAAAATTATATATATATATAAAAATTCTATCCCCAACGGTTCGCGCTCTACCCCATGGTTTATATAATTCCGAAAATACATCGTACCTCTGCTCACATTTGTGGACATCACGTCCGCAGTTTAATGCCTAGATCGGATTTTTTTTAATGTGATGCCTATAATAATGATGTTTCTAAATTACCCTTAAAAGTTTTCAACTATTACGGATGGTATTTTACAAGACGGCACTAAACATAAGTTTAAATTTTTTACTTTATTTAACCTCTAAGTTTGAGCACCTGTGGTGAAAAAAAAACACGTATCGGATCTGTGTGGCCAACCATTTAAAAAGTTTGCCTACATCATGAGGATTCTAAAACAGTAGCAGATCATGTACTTAATGTAATTACTTACTGCGTTATGGCCGTTAATGTGTAAAAGTAGGCATTTCATTACAAAATTATTTGCAGATAGTTTTTTTAACATTGCATGTATTTATTAGGTAAGTACATCTGTAGCTCTTGAAAATTTTACTTTGCTACCTGCTCGCCTTGTTTGGACGAATTCTAAGCTGTGTGAGCGAGACATTTTGTCCTCCTTACATGCATTATAGCAATAGGCTTAATAGCCTATTGCTATAATGCATGTAAAAAATTTGCCGATTCACGCGAATCGTTTAAAGGTTTAAAGAGTTTATTATCTCACAAAAGAACAAAAATTCACTTATATGACACTTAAAAATAACTTAAAAATAAAATAAAATAACTTGGTAAAATAACACATTTACACACGCTGGCTTATATAGGTTTTGGTTTAAAGAAACTATTCTCAATAAAGACATGACACTCACTTGAGAACAATATTAACACATGCAATTACACAAAGTTCGTCGTCATCAGTTACAAACTAGATATACCCATTCAATGCCTTCATTTCTCCAGAAGTGAGCAATCCGTATACTGATTAATTTGAGTTTTGAATACATTGAAAGAGTGTAAAATTCTTATACTAGAGGGTATTCTATTATATAGCTGTGCTCCTTCAAAAGTTAGCATTTTTTGCCATAGTTTATTCTAGTTTTGGGTAAGACTACTTAGCTAGCTCGTCGTGTGCTACGTTGGAGTGTTATGTTTGTGTGAATACTTTTAGTAAGAATTTTTCTCATGATAATACATGTGTGGTATATATTTAAATAGTTACATAAAAATTAAGAAAGCACTATTTTTAAACTAATGTTTGACATTGATTTTTTAATTTATCTTTAAATTTTGAAAAATATTTTTTATGAAATACGTCGTTCAGTAGGCTATTGTACAGTAGCGCTCCCTCAAACTGAATAGTTTTCGAACCATAGGTTTTAGTCCTAACTTTTGGTAATTGCAGTTTATGTTTGTTTCGCGTACAGTGTTTATGTGATTTAGTTTTAAAATTAATTTGTGTGTGTATGGAATCTGAGAGAATTTTTCTGACTAGTATGCATGTTTTGTATTTGTATAATTCAGTTTTTAGGGTTCCGTACCTCAAAAGGAAAAAACGGAACCCTTATAGGATCACTTTGTTGTCCGTGTCTGTCTGTCTGTCTGTCTGTCAAACCCCTTTTTCTCAGGAACGCGTGGAGGTATCAAGCTGAAATTCATATCAAATACTCAAGTCTACTGTCCCTTAGAGCTGTGGAAAAATCTTCTAAGCCAACGCAATCAAAAGATACAGCCATTTATGCCGTATATTTTCGACATTCGCAAGGGAATCAAAACCTACAGGGTACTTCCCGTGAACTCAGAATCTTGAAATTTGGTACGAAGCAACGTTTTATAGCACAGATAAAGGAAAAATTGCGAAAAGCATAAATTTTTAGTTACATCATATAATAAAAATATTTTTAATAATTTTAAACTTATATACCTACAGATCTCTTCGGAACCCTCGGTGCGCGAGTCCGACTCGCACTTTGCCGGTTTTTTTTTTATAGAGTTCTTTAGTCGGAAAGCGATAGTCAAGTTTGAATAAAACTTTTAACAATTTGTTCTGGGTTATTTGAAGATCCTTTATATTAGTTTTAGATGCACATACCCATATCACTATTAAAAATTCTAGTAATGACTTAGCTAGTGCATTATAAATAAGAGTTCGGACTTTATAAGGTATACAACATGTAAATCTGCGCAAAGCTCCTGTCAATGATGTTATTTTTGACTGCAGGTAATTTAAATGAGCTCGACTTGTTAATTTAGAATCCAAAACTAGACCAATATATTTTTCTGATTCTGACTGTTTAAGTTCTTGGTTATTTATTGTTAAGGGATCGAATTTAGCAACTTTTTTTGTTTTTTTGCAGTTAAAACCATGTTTTAGCAACATTTATAGTGAGCAAATTGTACTGAAACCATTCATTCAGTGTATCTAGATCAGCTTTTTTACACGGTAGAGCCATGCTGCAACTATATTAGTAGTAGGTATAGTTGTAGCATGAATGGGTCGGCTCGACAGGGGAAGGACCACGCTCTCACAGAATACCATTGTAAAATAGCAGCTTAACACTGCTGTGTTTCCTATGGTGAGTATATAGAACCGGATACCCTTTTTACTGGAAACGAGGCATTACATCTTAGTTCTCACGGGTGACAACGCATCTGCATTTTGATTCGTAATCGAGAATAGATGTAGATTTCTATGGGCCACAGCAACCACTTCCCATCAGGTGGACTGTGTGCTCGTTTGTCACCCTTATCCTATAAAAATAAAGCTTGTGCACCTGATATAATCTCTTGGATTGAATCTCCAAAATAAAATAAACATGTTATAATCAGCATATATAAAGATACTTCTCCCGTCAATCCGACATTGCCGATGTCATTTATGTAAGTTAAAAATAACAGAGGGCCAAGGATGGATCCCTGCGAAATACCACAAGTGATGTCACATGGATTACTTTTAAAATTTTCGATTTTCACTATTTGTTGTCAACTTTTTAGGTAAGATTCAAGAACCTTTAAAGCTGATCCAGATACACCAATGTTTTGTAATTTATTGAGCAAGATAGTGTGAGACGGTGTCGAATGCCTTTTTCAAATCAATGAATATACCTACAACTGTCTTCTTTTGGTCAATATTAGTTTTCTATTGTCAAGATCAATTGTAGCCGAAAGAGTTTTTGATCTGGCACGAAAGCCGTACTGGCCTTTATAAAGAAAATTTGATTATGTTAGATAATTATTTAAACGTACATATAAAATCCGCTCAAATACTTTTGACAATACGGACAAAACCGATATGAGACGATAGTTCCCAGGGCCAGAATTAGAGCCAGCTTTGTGAGTACGGCTAATTTTAGCTACCTTCAGGCTATCAGGAAATACACCATCTCTCATACGTTTATTGATACATGAACATAAATTATCACTTATTAAGTCATTAACACACTTTATTGCTTTAGGCGTTATACCATCTATACCTGAACTTGCATTATTATTTCAGTTATTGATTATTGTTTGTATTTCATCTTTTGTACATATTTTAGATTCTGAGAGGTATGCATGAGTTTGTATGGTTAATATATGCTATACAGCTATACTATTATGATATTTGTTATGGTATATCGTTTGCAAAAATTGTACCTATTGAAGAAAAGTAGCTATTAAAAGTTTCACATACTTCTGTTCCAACAATAATGGTTTTACCGTTTACTATAAGTTTAGGGGGAGCACAATAATATTTTATTTTGTTTAATGCAAAATTGTTATATATACTCGTAGTTCCCACATTTTTTTAGGTTTGCTGTAATATTTAACGAAAGCAGTGTAGTAAAATTTATCTTTAGTGTCTCTAATAGTACATGTAACTTTATTTTTCACATTATTAAACTCGTTCTTTAATTCAATATTATCAGTATCTTGTTTTATATTTTTCCAAAGCATATTACGGTTTCTAATTTCGTTTAATATCTGTTTGTTTATGCAGTCGCCTTAGGGTGGATTTTGTATTTTGTATTTAACAGTTTTATGGTTCATGGGTACTGTAAAGCACCTAAAACGTCAGGAATTTAAAAATAAGTATAATTAAACGCGATAGAATCCGTAAAAGTACTTTTTATTCAATGTGTAGTGTTCGCGTAAATATAAGAAATCATTCCCAAATAATTTTTCGTATATCGACAGCACTAAATGGGCACTAAATTTTTTGCAAAAATTTTTGTGTTTTTGCCCAAATGACCATTACAGCTTTATGTCTATAAATATAATATGCCAAATGCATAATGCATTTAGCATATTATTTTTATTATTATTTTAAATATTTTAACTTTAACATAGGTCATACTTGAATAGCTAAAAGTTGGTTTAACTGCTCTTCATCCTCGGCTAGCCTTTCTTCTCGTTTTCTCGCGTTAATTTCAAGAAGCCTCCGTGCCATTTCCTTCTTTCTCTCCTTCTGTTGCTCAGCTGAAATAGTCGATTAAGAAATCAAAAAGAAAATCTAGCCTTAAAAAAGTTTTATAAGTGTTCATTTATATCACTTTTATCAATGATTGTAAAAGACAAAACCAGAAAAGCACAAAATCAGAGCCTCACAAAGAAAAAAATGTAGAAATTAAGTTTATAGAAGAAATTAGTAAAGAATTAAATGAACTAACTGTAGTCAAAAAAGGCAAACAGATAAATAAGTTGAGAATCTTTCTCTAAAAAATTCCAATTTTTTTTTTCTAAATATTTTTTTATTTTTCTTCACGATATCTCTTTAATTTGATAGGAATATTCCTTTCGCCGAGTAGAGGTTAGCTAAGAACGGATTTTACGAAATTCCACCAGCAGTGCAGGCGGAGGCGTTAAAATTAAAAAAAATAAACTTTTAATCTATAGCTCTTTTAGTCTCGCTAAAACTCGAATACGGCTAGATCGATTTCTGTATCTAGACTAAAGGAGCTATAGATTAAAAGTTTAATTTTTTCAATCATCCGATCTAAACGATTCACAATTGGACCAGGTTCCGATGTTGTCAAGTTTCAGAAATCACCCGTGCAAAGCCGGGGCAGACCGCTAGTTTATTATAAGCCAATGCTTAACCACCTGGTGGTAATTGGTGACAAAAGCTCTTCACTCTTTTCTTGAAAACGCCCAGATTGTAATCAAGCGGAAAGACAAACGCCGATAGATCATTTCACACCTTTACTATACGAATTACGAAAGACGAAGCGGATCATTTTATTCGAAAATTCGAATGCGTGGAATATCGACAACAAAGTGGTGAAGGCATGACAACTACCCGGTTATTAGATGGAATTCAAATTTTACCACATTTATATTAATTCTATGTTCTCCTCTGTTCATCGGTTCGGTATTATTTTAAACTAATATATAATAAATAATTCGGCATTATTTCATCTGCGTTGCATACACACATCACTGACCATGTTGTGCTTATAAAAATCGTTGTTTCTTAAAACTTTTATAATTTTATATTAAATAAAGACATCACAATATTTTTTTTAGATAAGGGCCAAATGTCTAAGAAATAAAACTTAAAAGACCTAATTGAAATCTATCCCGTAGTTTTTAGTGATGCGCGCACATCTGCAAACCTTCATCATTTTTATTTATATAAGATTACAACATAATGCCTACATTAACATCCAAAAAGTCCTAAGGCCATGTACGCAATTGTATACCTGTGAGCCCTGAAGAGCTGGTAGATTGCACAAATGGTAGTTGAATCCTCTTTACATTTGCTTCATAGTAGTCTGGACTGGCCCACTTTCTTATTTCCTCTTGATAATCAAGGGCTATAGAGCTGTGCTCATGAAGGATTTCCTCTATACGAGACATTGTTATGGCATTTACATGAACTGGATATTTCAACTGTAATAATTTATGTAGATAGCATATTATTTCACTTCCACCTAGAATAAAAATCCAATGGCATTTTAAAAAACTGTAAGTTGTATTATATGACTTCATAATATTAGTAATGGGTATATTAAATTACATTCCATTTATTTTGGTAGTTATTTGTAGGTTTGTATTTATTGTTTTGTACAATTAAATTAAAACTTAATTAGCTGTTCAATATGCAATGACAATGAAATGTATTGGTTCATTCATTACACACACACACACACACACACGCACGCGCACGCGCAAACACACACACACACACACACACACACACACACACACACACACACACACACACACACACACACACTCACACACTCTCAAACACTCTCACACACACACACACACACACACACACACACACGCACGCACGCACGTACGTATGTACGCACGCACGCACGTATCACGCACACTCACACACACTCTCTTACACACCCACACACACGCACACACGCACGCACGCACGCATGCACACACGCACACAAGCATGCAAGATTTTCGTACCTAAATTAATTCTTCTTGCATATTCAGCAAAAACCTTGCCCTTGATCACGGGTATAATGTGTATTGTGTGATATCCACAGTTGACAATGAGTGCAGAATCACCTATATCATTCTTGTACATACTGAATAGTGAATCAACCCCATAGCTTACTGCTGGTACACCATAGGCCTCAAATAATAATTCTGACATCACTGAAATAAATATTTAATTTTAGAATTTGCTTCAATACATTGGAGATGTTTCATAATTGATTTAATTGCTTTTAACATCCACAAAATATGCATGGTTTAAGTCTGCTATGACTACTGGATTTTGACATGCTTTCGTAATACAGTATTCAAATAGGAAGTTATGTTATAAGTGTAATAATTAATGTGCCAAGATGGCTATTGTTATAATCAGATGCCTTACAGTGAACTACCACTAGAAGCTATTTAACACTATTTGAGACAGCATATTTTAATTTTAATTTTATTAAAATTAGTCAATTACAATTTCAGCTTTCATTTTACTAGATTTTTATTAATATAAGCATGCTTTAAGAAATTAAGCTTATTGACTAAAATATAAAAAAATCACTTCATATTTTTATACTTACACTGTCTACTATAATTAGGTGTTACAAAAGCCTCTGTCATCACAATTGGATGAGGCACACAGCCTTCATTGTCAATACCCAAATGTGAAAAAATGTAATCACATACTTGTTCCTGTACTTCAAAGTGAGTAACTACATTTTTATCAAATTGTGTCTTTAGCTGAAATCTTAAAATTGAATTTGATTAATGGAATCTTTTTTTACTTTATTAGTTATGTATGTATACTTACATAATAGTGTTTTTTTTTTTTATAAAAGCAAGGATGATAAACATGTATAAAGAAGACTTGATGGTATGTGTGTACTGTGACTCAGACACCTTCACTAATCCTCAAATAAGAATCCAAATGGAGATGAATTGTCACCCTTGAGTAGTATGAGGGAATGCTTAGTTACCATTAAAATGATTCTTGGGCTTGCAGCAGCATTATGCTACTAATTTATTATTGAAGAATTGCTTTTTCGGTTAACCGGTTCAGTGCGAGTGGCACGCCAGGCGTGCCATCGATTACTTTTGTGTGTGGTGTATGACACGCGAGTCGTGTCTTTTTTTAAAATCGTTATAACTCGCTCAAATTGCTTTTTTGGAAGATTTATCCAGAACAAAATATTCATTATTTTGCAAGTAGTTCATGCCTGCAGCTTCGTTTCTGGATATTTTGAAAATTTTAAATTTTTAGGGGTTGACAACATTTTTTTAACGTGTACATGGTACTATTTTTACTTTGTGGGTTTTAAATCATGTTGTGGAAAAATAGTCTAATAAGTAACAAATAATAGCACTCATTGCGATCGCTCACCATCTTAAGTTGTAAATAAATTTCTGGAAAACAAGTCTGTTAAAAAAAATAATACGTTTGTCTTATTGTTTAATTTTGCTTAAAATAGTTGAACTGCCGTCTTATTACTATCATATGGTCGAATAGATCTACGAAGTACCATGTGCTCTTGTGATATGGTATAAGGTTTATTTTTTCTTGAAACAGTTTGTTCATGCATAAAAAAAAGCAACGGCGTTTTTTTTTTTTTGAAAACACTTGTTTTGCTATTCTTACTAATTAGACGTTTTCAGATCGACTTTACTTTTACATTTGTATAACATTAAATAATATTTAACATTTGTAAATATCAATGAATCATAAACCTTATTTTTTACCAAATTAAGGTTCCTCATTGTTTGATATTTACAAATGTTATTATTAGATGAAAATTTAATTTAATAAAAACCAAGGTTTACCAGGGTGATTTAGCTGTACCAACTTATATAAATGATTTTTTTATAAAACAAATAATAGTACAAAAGGTTTGTAATCTCTGCATAAAAAAGTCACTTACTCTCAATTTCAAAGAAAACACGTAAAAAAACACATAGTTACCCACTAAAAACAAGTATCCTTCCGTTTGTAACTTATGTTTGATGTCAACTAAACTTAATTAGGTCTAAACAAGTGAAAAAAGCATAAAAAAGAACATTACTTTTACACATGGCTGATGGCACAATAGGCGTGTCATCAACTTCTGTGTGAAATATTTGTTCGCTGCCACAGCTAAAAGTTGTCGAAAATCGGTGCCGCAACGAATCGGTTAAGCAAATTCATACACTCTGCAGAGTTCCTTATTAAAGCTGCAGTGGCTCTATCACATATACGTCCTGGATAGTTTTTAATAGTAGTACTGAATAATTTTTACGTGGTAGAACCAAACAGCAGCCATATTGCAGCACAAATGGGTCGACTTGACCGGGAAAGGATCACACAATACCAGCATAAAATAGCATCTTAATTCTGCTATGTTTCGTATTGTGAGTGTAGAGAACCGGTGACTCTTTTTACTAAAATGAGGCATTCCATCATGGTACTCAGGGGTGACAATGCATCTACATTTTGTTTCTTAATAGCATCCATCCATAACATTCATATTACATACATTATACAATATTAATTATTATATATACAACTACTATAATATACTAATATACTATATCTAGTTGTTGTGCTCTTGAGCTTGTGCATTGCTAAGTTTACCTAAAAGATATAAAAATTAATCTTTGGATGAAATGTAGAAACTTCAAAAACTAAAGTGAGATAAGTAAAAGTAGTAAGTAAAAAAATTATTTTCTTGATCTATTCTACGCGGAGTCAAGAATGACTTAATATGTCCAAAACAAATTCGTGTTCTGAAATCTTCATTATTTTCAAACTATTTCAGCCTAGTTTTGATTAGTGACGTCTGCTCACTGTGTTTGTCACGTGCCAGCTGAGTTGTCCAACTCTTATTACACCATACAATATTCAGACAGTCAGCCAGATAGTGGAGCTGTGTGTATTCGCTTGCTCTGAATTCAGAATTAGACAGCCTAAATGTTATTCGACAAGTCTTAACCAAAGCGTATGGCTGTCTGAACATCCGTTTTAATAACAGTTTTAGTCAATAAGACAAACGTGAAAAATTTACCGAACTGCTTCGATGTTAATAATATCATTTCCTATTTGAATTGGGGGAGTTACAGGTGGTTCGGCATCCTTTTTACACCGATCCTTTCGCGGACGAGCAATTAAATTTTTAAATATCATATTTGGCTCATCGTTTATAGACCACCCTACTCTGCATTGGTAGGAACCTGTAGGACGAATATAGAATTTTTTTAATAAGTTAATTTAATACAAATATATTCACAAATTAGGATAATCAGACCATTATCTATGACTAACGGTATATGGCCAAATTTTAATGTCGGTTCATACTCATGGACTATGTCAGGAACAGTTTTATGGTCTTTTAATACTAAAACGTCTTCCATAATTCACGGTTAATACAACATTTGTGTTGTGTGAATGTGTGATGAAAATAAAGATAAAATCACAGAAAATATGTGATAATGTCAACTTGACATCCAGTGTGACCATCTTTAAAATACAGATCCTGCCTTACTTTGGTTAAAAACCTGCCAAAGTCTATAGTGAAAAATACCTAAATACTGCCAACTTTATTTACCATTGTCTAATTGTATTAAAGTAAGAAAAATAAAAATACACATTTAAATACTATGTTTTTATTAAATTAAAATTAAACATATTTCGTTGGTTTGAATGCAATGCAATCGCCATGCTCACCAATGCCTTGTTTAACGTGTAATATAGACGCTACGTGTTTGTTTATATCTAAATGTTGAAAAGGTTTTAACCGAACTAAGTAATGGCAATGAGGTTGATGCCGTTTACACCGACTTTAGCAAGGCCTTTGACAAAGTGGACCATAAAATATTACTGGCTAAACTTAAAAACTTTTTTTTTATTGATGGATGTCTTTTGAGATGGTTTGAATCCTATTTAGAAAATAGAGTAATGAGGGTTGTTGTAAACGGTTTTGTATCTCACATATTTCAAGCTACTTCTGGAGTTCCTCAGGGTTCAGTCCTGGGTCCAATTTTATTTTGTTTGTTTATAGATGACATAAAGCATGTATTAAATAACAGTCAGTTTGTTTTATACGCCGATGATCTGAAATTTTTTAGAACCGTTAAGTGCACAGAGGACCAGTTACTATTACAGAGGGATATTAACGATCTTTGTAAATGGTGTGAATGTAATAAGATGGAACTCAATGTAAAAAAATGTCACCACATAAAATTTTCAAGGAAATATAAAAAATTCGAGACTAATTACTATATTGCAGATACTCGTCTTAATCAAGTAAAATATGTTAAAGATTTAGGCCTAAACATTGATTCCGAAATGAGATTCACACGTCATATTGATATCACAATAAATAAGTGTAATAGATTAATAGCATTCATCTCACGTAACACTACAGAATTTAAGTCCATACCAGCTTTAAAGGCCCTCTATTTCGCGTTGATCTGTAGCAATATAGACTACTGTTCCTTTGTTTGGTATCCTAGTTATCAAAACAATATACAACGTATAGAAAAGGTACAAAAAAGAATGTTAGCTAGACTCAGTTACATCGAAGGGACTTATCACACTTTTAATAGCTATAAGAAAAGACTTGAGCATTACCATATGATACCTTTAGAAAGGCGTAAGGATGTATTAAGTATAACTTTCCTGCACAAGCTCTTAAATTTTAAAATTGACTGTCGGTCTCTCTTACTTGATATCGGTATCACTGTTCCAAGAATTAGTGCACGTCTACATAACTACAAACCGTTTCATATTAAAAAAAGTCGTAATGAATATGGCAGAAACACACCTTTATCATCTTTGTTGAATGCATTCAATTCAACATTTCAAAATTGTGATGTGGATATCCATTTTGATAGCTTAAATGTTTTAAAGAGGAAGGTACTAACACATTACACAGCCAAATAATTTTTTCATTTTAAAAGTTTTTTTTACTTCCTCTCTTTTTTCCATTTATCATCATCATCATTACAGCCCTTCACAAGTCCACTGCTGAACATAGGCCTCCCCCAAAGAATGCCACAAAGCACGGTCCTGAGCCACCTGCATCCATCGACTTCCTGCAAATCTTACCAGGTCGTCACTCCATCTAGTGGGGGGACGCCCTACACTTCGCCTGCCGGTACGAGGCTGCCACTCGAGAACCTTTCTTCCCCATCGGTTGTCGGTTCTTCGAGCCATATGGCCGGCCCATTGCCACTTCAGCTTACTAATCCGTTGGGCTATGTCGGTCACTCTGGTTCTACTGCGGATATCCTCATTTCTGAGTTTATCACGCAGAGAAACTCCGAGCATAGCCCTCTCCATAGCTCGCTGAGCGACCTTGAGCTTCCTCATCCGGCCAGCAGTGAAGGACATTTCCATTTATACATTATATAAATTAGGTTTTTTTTGTTTGTTCTAATTTTGTTATTTTATTGTAGTGATAGTTTTATAGGTTACTGTTCTCCTTAAAGGAAGTCTTTTATTATATGTTGTGTTTACCTTTAATTTAAATGCATATATACAATTTTTTTTTAAGTGCACCTCATAATAATTGTTTCTATATGTATTTAGTTGGTAAGCCTTATTAAATAAATAAAAAAAATAAATCTGTTTCGTGTTTTTGTCTTAATTAGATTTATTTGACAGAATATTCTTTCGCATGTTGAATCCAAACATATTTTTGGAACAAAGTTCCTTATCGGACGGTACGAATTTGGCGGATGGGGACTAGGCGGAAAAAGTGTAAGATCTTTTCAGTAACGACCTCTTCTGACGTAGCGTAGACGGCCTTGCGAGAAAGGGAGATGAAATAATATCCATCTCCCTCGCACTTGTCATAATTTTGCCATGAAAGAAATATTATTTTATTTTAAATGACGCTTCATTTTAAGACGCTAATAATTCATTTATTTGCATTTGTTAATCAATAATATAATACGTTTATCAATAGTAATACACTACGAAAGGAACTTCGTTGCAATCTAGTTTTCCACGACACTCACGAATGTTTTTTTATGTTTACTAGCAGCGGCATGCTACTTTAAAGCAGACATCGGGGATGCCAGTTCGGATCTGATTATTTTTAGCTTTGAAGATCCACGATGAAAGTAAAGGATTTTACTCCACTCCGCTATATACGGCCATTCATATTTTCGCTTTATCATCACCACCAATAATTGCTATCGTCCACGAAACATCATTAACAAAATATCGCTAACAAGATATTGTCACCACGAAATCTAATGCGATAACAAACTAAAGTACGTCTCTTCTACGACTGATTGAAATATTAACCATTAACTCGTGTTTACGAATACTCGTTTTAAGATTATCAACTTTACATACATATTTTTAAAGTTGTTTATTGAATGTGTTACAAAATACATTAGAAGTATAGGGAAATCCCTCACATGCTAGCGAAGTACAAAGGGTTGCCATTTTCGGCATTTTTAAGTTGCCATAATGAAATCTATTTTTAATACCCGAATACTGTCAAATACTGCCAGATTTTATAAAGCGTCAACCGATCATGCCAGAGGCTAAAATAAGAGGCCAATCCTGCCAAAATGACAGGAACCTGCCACATATCGCACCTCCGCTCAAATAGCGTCATAACTCAAAAAATTCAAAAATTTTTTTTATTGTTTCCTAAGGTTCAGAATACTTCAGTTTCATATCAAAGAGTGTCTTAACTAGTGATTTTACTATTTGTCGCTAGATGGTATTAGTGTCATTATAATGTTAACCGAAACTAATAGCACATCGAACTTAAACAGTGTCATATCACGACTTACGCGAGGTGCTCGTTTATCTAAATATTGTATAAAGTGTTGTTTGTCGATATATGACGGTATATGCGATGGGTGAAAAAAAAATCTTTAAATTTATTTAATTAAAGTTCACTGCCTCGACATAAGACAGTTTGTGGGAATAAGGTGAGTCAATATTACTATATTTTTTGCAATAAAACTGATCTGTGTCTAGTTATGACGATATATGTGATTACGTCGCGCCAAAAATCATATTACTTTTACAACAAGTTCTCTAAGTCATGTTATGCCGTTATATGTGATTAATTTGAGTCCAAAATCATATTATTTTTACAATAAAAGTGCTCTGTATCAAGTTATAACATTACATGCGATTGGGATTATTTAAAAAAACAAAATTATTATTTAGAATAAGTGCATTGTACTTATATGATTTATGACAATACACATGATTAAAGAAAGTCGAAAAATAATTGGTGTCGCAATCAAATCTAATCTATATTAGGTATTGTAAAGAGGTACTTTATTATATTGTTTATGTGTCTAGTTGAATAAAGATATTATGCATTCTTATTTACTAATTTAAGGTTTTTTGTCATTAGGTGGATGTATCTGCGAGTACATACAACGTCAAGATCAAGTAAATTATTGGCTCTTTGCTTGAAGGCAAATGAACAGCATAGTCAAGAAGCAGATGAATCGATTTTCGTAAAAATAAGTAATTCAGAACCACTGAAAGATAGCTTGGCTGATTCTTATATCACGCAATAAAACTAATTTATCCATTTAAGTATCATAAAATGAACATATATTAAATAAACAAAAACACTATATTATTCCTAATTTTTTGTTTTAAAAGGGCAGGTATGACATTTGTGTTTCGTAATTAATTTTTTTAAGGAAAAATGGACTTTTTTTTCATTATCCTAGGATTTTTCTTGGTAGTTATACATTGTTCTTCATGACTTATATGATTTTGTTCTAAAAATTACATCAAACTAATTTATTTTAATATTATTGATAAGGACTGAATAACATATCGATAACTTTGTTATTTCATTAAATCTTTAAAGGCCTAAGAATCCAAATAGAAAAATTGTAATTCCATTTTGTTCATTGCCCCAACAAATTATGAATCTGACTTTAATTCAGCAGCCCTCCGCGCACCGCAACCGTTACTTACATCGAAAGTTCAGAGCTTCTTCAAACAGTTGCCGTAAGCCACCAAAGAAGAACGCATGTGCTTTGTCTATACGATATAGTGCCGGAATGTTCTTTGTACGGAGTTTGTCCAAGTCATAGAATTATTACGCATAGAATACTAGTACGCGCACCGAAAGTGAAGCAAGTAAAACTAACGCGAAACCGCGTTAGTTGACTCAGCGACGCGTCAGTGCGCATCGTCACGCCTTACGGAGAAGAGCTCGCGAAAAATTGTAAAAGTTACGGTTTGTGTTGTAAAATATTGTCACAACGGTGATGATAAACATAAAAGAAGTGATGGTATTACATTTCACATATAAGTTTATACATTTAATTCATTCATTTATACATTAAAGTACGTAAAACTAAAAAAATACTTACCTAAGCCCTCATAATACAAATGTTGCTAGTTGTGGAGA